AAGCAACTCCCGCCAACGCTGCAAAGTCAAGCTCGGGAGGCGGGCAGATGCAGCCTCCTTCATGAGGGTACGGTAGGGTAGAAAATTCGGAATAAAATTTATTTGAACTATAGTACATGTGCAGCTACGGTACAGTGCAGCTAAGTAAGGAATAAATACCAGGAGCAAGCAAGTAGGTCAGCTAAAGCTCGGGGCAAGCCACAGATCTGGGTGCCGAGTGGACTGTGATGCCGCGGTTGGGACTGTGAATTTCCCGACCCGAACCTAGCTGAGGAGGGGGTCGATTTTGGCGCGCGCCCGCGCCAAATCGCGTCACGACGCGATTTCCGCTGGCGAAATCCACAGTCCATAGCCTTGGCATTTACAGTCCCTCGGGTAGATATCTGGTTACCTCACCCGCGCGTTTGTAGGGTTCCCGAGCGCCTGATGTGCTTCTTTGACCCTCAAATATTACTAACAATAGCATAGATTATATTTGCAAGTATATACAATATTTGAAGCACGGGAGGCGTGTATCTGGCCCTCCAGCAGGCCGGGATGGACGGGGAATGGAGAGGCCGGGGTCCCAAATGGCGTGGGAACTGGGACTGTAATGGACTGTGGCTCCCCCGCCACAGGACCGTAGATCTCACGGAAGAAGTAGAGAGCGGTTTCTGAGCAGAGTTGAACAGGACCCTTGATATTACCTAGGTGGGTCGGATACAGGTCCCGGTAAAACTCAGGCTTTCGGACCCCCGAGGTCGGGTACAGTTCCGGTAAGAAACGGTCGCGCCACAGTGAGGTCGGGTACCAGCGTCCCGGTAGAAAGGGCCCGCAGACCCAAGGTCGGATACAGTCCCGGTAAGGCCGGATTTAACTTCAGCCATGCTTCGCAGCCACAGAAGCACTCTTTATAGTAGTGTTTATTGTATTTTACGGTTCATTGGCTCTGCCGTGTGGCTGCCACAAATATCCATCAGATAATGATGCGTGTCCGTGGCTGCCACACCAAGACACTATAAAGCGGCCGGCTGTGCCATAGTAAACTTGCTAGTCTCCATTACTCTCGGGCAGTATGTCCCGTCCTCGTTCGCCATCCTTAGAGACAGAGGATGAAACACATCCGCCTTTTGACCCCGATGTTTGGATTGGCAAGAACCGAGCATACAAGGATGTCCCGGGTGGTGTAGCTACGGAACTCCTCAGACAGCTTACCATATCGCCACAAACTCTGTCGATGCTCCCATCTCAAGCCATACCTATCAAAAGTCTATTGGATTGGTCTTTCCCTGCTGTCTCAAGTGATCTGAATTTCCTTATCCCGGCTGGCTGGTTCTCGAAAGATGAACCTAACGAGCCCATTACAAGCCGGCTCACATTCCCTGTGCCGGGAATGTTATGATTTTCCCATGCTTATCTCATTCCATTTCCATTCCGAGCATTGCTATTGGACAGTACCTTTCTCCGAGTAGACCTTCCCATGGACGCTATCTTCTTCTCACACGTTATCTTCCTTGACTCACCTTCTACCAATGGGCGCCCTTGTATTTCTCATTTCTCTGAGTTACGTTCTCGCAGGATGGCCTACGCGTCCTTTCTTATTGTTCTCTTCTTTGGGTATTAACCCCTATACCAGTTACTATATATACTGTAGGAAAACCCATGTATTCCTTAGTTCAACCTCCTGTTGAATACAGCGATTACCTGGACTCTTGACTTGACCGTTGGCATTGGCCCGGCCAGACCTACCTTTCAGTACGCTTACTGAGGTAGTAACGACATAACTGTTGGCACGTGGCCCAGTTATCTCAAGACGACTAGTTAGGACATCGCTTCCTAACATTAGGTTGAACTCTTCTACGACACTTGCCGACTTCTTCAAGCCTAGGCAACCCCTCCTCTACTCTTGATCATCCTCGTTGGACT